CGTAGCCTGGGGCTGCTCTCCGTGCCTCGGGGCCGGGAGGTTTGCAGCGCAGCCAAGCCTGTGGAGCGAGGGCAGGACCAGAACTGGAACTGTGCGAAGAAAATTGGGCGGGAGCCAGATTAAAAAACAACAACAAAAAAAAAAAAAGCTTCCCGATACTGGCTGAGGAGTTGTTTTTCACTTTTAATGTTTCCTGGTGTGTGCACTTGGAGAGACGGGGTCAGCCGGGCCTGGGTATTCGTTTCCTCAGCACCCGGCGGGGCAGAGCAAGTGCAGGAGAGCGGGAGAAGGTGTTCTGCTGGGGTCCTGCCAGCGAGGCCCTGGGGGGGACACCAGGCAGGGAGCACCTGCGTGGGGACCAGAGCTGGGCGCCTGGGGTTTCCCAGCCTCTCCCTTGGGTTGGCTTCAGCTTTCCTGCTGTTCGGGGCGGCTGGGTGTGCAATTCAGGACAGCTGGGTGTGCAATTCGGGACGGCTGGGTGTGCAATTCGGGATGGCTGGGTGTGCAATTCAGGACAGCATTCAAGGCAGCCGGGTGTGCACTTTGGGGCGGCTGGGTGTGCAATTTGGGGTGGCTGGGTGTGCAATTCGGGGCAGTGTTCAAGGCAGCCAGGTGTGCAATTTGGGATAGTTGGATGTGCAGTTCGGGGCGGCTGGGTGTGCAGTTCGGGATGGCTGGGTGTGCAATTCAGGATGGCTGGGTGTGCAGTTCAGGACAGTTGGGTGTGCAATTCGGGACAGTTGGGTGTGCAATTTGGGATGGTTGGGTGTGCAATTTGGGACGGTTGGGTGTGCAATTCGGGATGGTTGGGTGTGCAATTTGGGATGGTTGGGTGTGCAGTTTGGGGCAGCTGGGTGTGCAATTCAGGATGGCTGGGTATGCAGTGTGGAGTGGCTGGGTGTGCAATTCAGCCACGTTGTTTTCCCACGTTTTACGGGGGTGATGGCGCGCGGGGGCTGTCGGGTGAGCCTCACCTGGACCCCTCTTGGGGTGGGTTAGCGGCCAGGCACCCCTCCCCACCTCACATCTGCCAAAGCAGGGCTCCGGGGCTGGGTCTCGGCTTCCCGGGGCTGCTCCTAGGCAAGCAGCAGCCTGGGCTGGCTCCAGCAGCTGATGATTCCCAACATGTGTTGGCTGCGTGAGCTTCGGTCAGGAAACAGCAGCCCCCCCGGGATGTGAAATCACTGCGCGCAGCTCAGGAAGGCCTTTGCTAACCTCCCTGGTATGCTCTCCCAAATGTTTGCCTTTCGATTTGAGCTGATCATTCCCCTGCTGAGATTTTGGTTTTTTTGGGGGGGGGGGAAACCCCCTTTTCCCCATCACACTGTACTTGCAAGGCTCAATGGGAAGGGCAGTGCTTCCAGCCAGGGCACCAGATCCGCTCGCCTTCTCTGCCCCAACCACATGGAGAACGCACCGGGACCTCTGCGCCGGGCTCGGTTCTGCCCTCGCCCCAGGGACCCCCCCTCCCTTGGGGCGGCGGGGACCAACCCTCCTCCTTTGGCCTCCTCTCCCGTGGCCCGGCAAAGCCAGGGTGCTTCACCCCATCGTGGGGCTGCCGCGGGAACCCGGGGAAGAGGAGAGCGCGATGATCTGCGGTATCATCACAGTCATCGCACATCCGTGCCTCAGTTTCCCCCATCCAGCATAGGCTCTCAGAGGGTCTCGCTTCCCGCGTGGTTTTCCCGAGGGCCTGGGATTCCTGGTGGGAAGATGTCCAGCCTGGACCGTGCCCTGGCGTTTGCTCATCCCAGAGCGAATGCTCTGCTGCAGCGAAGTGCCGTGGCTGAGCGTGTTTGGTCGGAGCGGGGAAAGGCTGGTTTGGAAGCAGACGAGGGATGCTGTGAGAAAAGACCTAAACAGCAGGATTTATGTGGGAATTACTGTGTGGGAAGGCGGGAAGCAGGAGGGCTCCCTGGGTGGTACCACGCTCCCCAGGCGATGCTCTGACTGGTGGGGGGAGATCGGGGAGCTGGTGCCCGCACAGGGGGGAGGTGGCCCCCGAGGTGGGGCTGTGGGGTGCGTTTGGCTGTGACGGGGGTCAGGCTTTACAGCGGGTGCGGGCTGGGACCTCCCCCACCCAGCAGTGCGGGGGCTTGGGGTGTCCAGCTGTGGGGGCAGCACGGGGTCCTCATCACCATCAGCCGGCACCCCTGGGGGAGATGCCCATGCAGGGTCCTGGGGAAAAGAAGAGCCCTTGGAAAACTGAACTGGAGATGGATCTATGGGGACCAGGATGGAGGCATGGGATGGTGCAGGGTGGGCAACCTTCTTGTTGGCCGGGGCAATTTACAAAGGCCACCGCAGAGGGGATGCGCCTGGGAGACCTTGGTGCGGGTCTTACTGGGGGGATTTTCCAGCTGGGGCTGTGCCAGGCCATCAGTACCAGTGTGGCACTGGGATCAGTTTGGGAGCAAGAGGGGCATCGAGAGGCCCAGAGCGCAAGGGGATGGATGCCAACAGCAAAACGCCCGGTGCTGGGATGCCGGTCCCAGCTCTTGCGGCCAGTTTTAAGCTTTTCAAGAGTCAGCGCTATCCTTTGCCACGCGTTTCTGAGCCGAAAGTCACCATCCCTGCCTCGGGCACGGGCAGAAGACCCCTGGAGATGGCCGTGGCAGCCCTGCTGCTGCCTGGAGCCAAGAGGGATGATTAAAGCCAGGTCCTCTGTGCCCTCCCCGACCTGGAATACCAGGGATTTTACAGCACGTTTAACTTGAGGGACCCCGTAAGCTGCGGGGTGCTCTGCTGGGAGGTACACCCGGTCCCCCAAAGAGCCAGCGAGCGGCTGGGCTGCTGCGGAGGAGGGGGGGCTGGGAGAGGGGTCTGCTGGGTCCGAGGGGGGGCAGGGGGAGGAGGGCACCCGGGGACGCTGCAGCGGTGCCAGGCCGGGTGAGAGACCAGCACGGCGGCCGCTTTCGGAAGAAATAAAGCCTCGATCCCGAGTGGGAAGAATGGAAGAGGTTTCAGCCCGGGGGTGGTGGTGCCCCTTCGCCCTCCCCAGGAGGACCTCGAGGTGAGGAGGTGGGAGCACACGGCGCGGTCGGTCCTGCTGTGGGGTGCCCCCTGGCAGCCTGGCTTGGGGACAGGGATGGGGTGGCCCAAGCAGACATGACTCAGCACCCAGCCAGCGTGACTCAGCACCCCAGGAACGCTGCCTGACGACCTCGAAGTGCTGGTGCTGCAGAAAGTGATGATGCAGGGACTGGGCGCCCAGTTTCTCCCTGGGATCAGCAGCTCCACTGTTGAACCAGCAGAAAATCCGCCCCCCCCCTTCCGCCCAACAACAACCCCAAAAGTTTGCACGATGGGAGGGGTCTGTGCCTTTGAGAGACGCCCAGAGAAGCTCTTCTTTCTCAGCCGCATCCAAAATGCCCCTCGGGAGGGGGAGCCCCAGTAAGGGGGTGGGCAGGCGGATGCCAGCCTGGCTCAGGGGTGCCCTGGGGGGTCTGCGGGCCCGAGCACCCCACAGCTCTGCGTGTCCGGCTCGACCTGGCCATTTGGCTCAGGCTGTGCCGACGCTCTCAGTGAGACCTGTGGAAGAGTTGTTTCAGGATTTATGACCAGCCTTAATCTGCCTCGCCTCTCCTGCTTTTCCTCCCATGTGCCCCGAGCACAGGGCTTGGCTCAATCCCTTGCCTCAGTTTCCCCACGGCACTGTGCCGTATACAGCATCTGTCGCTGCCGTGCCATAGCGCCACGTGGTCGCGTACGAGCCACGGTCCCAGCGGTCCATTGAAACGGAGGCTTGGCTTTTCTGCCTTGTCCTTTCCCCTATCCTCACCTGGGGGAGCCTCCAGCCCCTCAATTTGGGCCGGTCCCTTGGCCAGACCTGTGCAGAGACCTTCAGCCTGACCCCCCGGAGGTCCCAGGTGCGGAGACCCTCCGCTTTGTTCCTGGGAATTTGGAGAGCTCTGCGAGCCAGCAGGGGGGGCCGGACGGGGACCGGCTTCAGCAAAGCCATGGTTGGAGCTGACTCAGAGCTTCCCACCACAGGTTTCCTGCTGGCTCAGGGCTTTTTCATGCCTTCCTCCCTCCCCAGAACTCTCCCGCTCCTTGTGAGGATGCCGAGATCCATTTACCACCCGCAGCGCTGCGAGAGGCCCCTTCCCCTGGTCGAGGCAGCTCAGGGGGGAGCGTGTGCTCACTGCCTGGGTATAGCAGGAACACTCTTGGGTCCACCTTGCTCCTTCTGGGTTGACGAATGACCTGGGCTGGTTTGGCTCAGCTTCTCCTCTCCCCCAGGATCCATCGCTGCAGCCCGAAGGAAGACGTCTCCGTCCCAGGGCTGCTCCTGCCATCCCCGAGCTGGATGCGGCGCCTGGCTGCTCCTGGGCTGCAGAGGGTGGAAGGGAGCTCCGGGTTGTTTTGACTCATCGCCTGGGTTTTGCAACCTCCTGGCAAAGCAGAGCATCGGAAAAAAAGAGAAGAGGAAAGAGGACAGCCAGAGCTCAGCTGGGGTCCGGGCGCCTCGGCCGGCTGCGGGGGCCAGCCGTGCCTTCTTCCCCAGCCTCTGCAGCCTGGTTTTCGTAGTTCTCCTTCCAGGCAGCTGCCCCTGCTCCTGCTCTCGCAGCGGGAACCAAAGGCGTTTGGGCAGCCCCTCCATGCCCTGCGCCCCCCGCTGCTGCCCGTGGCGCCCTGCCGCGCCGGGGTGCAGCCACGCACGCCTCTGCTGGTGCGGGGAAGGGTGGAGGTAGAGGCGCCCGTTCCCAGGCTCTGCGCCCAGGGTGTTCACCAAACGTCGCAGCAAACCGTCTGCTAGGAGGGGCCACAGGGGTGGTCACCAAAATGCTCTCGGTCCCTTTTCTTCCAGAGCCCCAGGCCTGGGAAAGGCTGCGCTGGTGATGCTTGGCAGGCAGCCTGGTTTCCGTGGA